TCGGATTGAGGAATCGGAGAATTCCAATTCCAGTCGTGCTAATACTCTTGGGAAAGGTATGAATCCTCTTCTCCTCCTCCTAGCTATTTCTATGGTAAATAGCAAGACAGACTGTGTTCTATAGCCTTGGGTGGCAACAGGTCTAGAAGAAGGAAAAACTCTGAATTCAAAAAGTTGGGCTCCGTCAGGCTATCTTTCCCAAGAAACAGCCCCTTCTACAGCAGTACACATGGTATCCCTACGGGTCAAGAGGTTAAAAAAATGTTATAATTTCTATAAAAATAATTTCTAATTTATTAGAAAATCTTCAAAAGTATCGAGGTAACTTTTTACTCCAGTTTCTCTTCAACTTTTCATATCAAAATTAGAGTAGATATTTCGTAAGTAACCTTTAGTCACGATAATTTTTTATTCTCTTTCTAATTAGTAAAATATCGATGTATTTTTTATTCTAATACAACGAAAATACCGGTAAAATATATACCCTGTTCTTTCAGTCTACTTCTGATTTAAACCAGACTTCTGTAAACATTAGCGTATTTTATTTTATTTCTTCATTGTTAAACAGAACAGATATTGTTTTACTGTTAATCCTAAATTAGTGATCCATGAGACAGGAACGCAAAATTAAAGTTTAACTTTCGGGAATAGCTTTGTAGAATACTCCAAGACTTTTTTTTTTTTTAATTCACTTTGATCATAAAAGAAGAGTCTTATATTTTATTCACATATTTCATTTTTCATAGACGTTTAAATTTTTTTCCTATGTTCAGTGCTTTCTTTCCTGAATTCTCTATCAACTTAAAATCTTTCCACCATCTTGGATAAAAAGGTGGCGCTTCGATTATTGATCGGTTTTAGAATAAACTGAATTCTCACTGCTGGTTGCACACTTTGTCATCTCCGTGAATTTATGTGAACTTTTGAGTTGTAAGAAATCGATCAGGCTCGTTCGATACTTTCAGTTGTGATTTCGGTCTGGAAGACTCCAGTTCAGTTCACAGCTAAATTTGGTGAAAAAAGAATATTTTTATCTCAGATTTTCGTAATACATTTAAAATTCGAGAGAACCTTTAGCGGCTGATATATTAATCTGAAGTCAAACATGGCACGATTTCTTTTTTATCTTTTCGGATTTAAGGAAACGTTTTCAAATCTTTGGGACATGAAACAGCTTGACTATATCTATTTTTTTATGTTATATATGGGCATATATTTGTTATGGTGTCTTCATTTTTAACATATTTAAAAGGTCACCTGAGATTTTTATGTGTGAGTGACTAATTGTACCTAGGATATATATATATATATATATATATATATATATATATATATATATATATATATATATATATATATTGTTGAAGCTATGGCGTATTTATGGGGTTAAAGTGCTCAAAATCAGGTATATAGTATATATAAAACAGACATTGAAATCAACACTAAACGACGACAGTCTGTTTCATACTTAAACGCAATTGTAAGGCCTCATGATTTAGTTCAAGCATGAGTCAGACTGTTGCCGCTAAGTGTTGACTTCAATATCCACATATATATATATATATATATATATATATATATATATATATATATATATATATATATATATAGTATTAACGACATTTACCGGCCTGAATGTCCGAGAAATTTTCTTAGAAAATTTTCTATGAAAAAAAAATTTCTTGGACATTCAGGCCCTGGTAAATGTCGTTAATACTATTTATTATAAACAGTGCATTTCCTTAAATATTTGTGTGTATATATATATATATATATATATATATATATATATATATATATATATATATAAACAGCGTGTGTATATATATATATATATATATATATATATATATATATATATATATATATATAAAAACAGCGAAACAGTCTGTCTGTGGATGACATTTATATATATATATATATATATATATATATATTATAATATTTTATTCATAATAAATAATATAAAAATATTCATAAAATATGAGGTGATTTTGGATTTTATTGTTTATTTGTTCTGTAACAATAAATCCATTGAGCTCTTTTTGTGAAGCAGTTTCAATATTTTATATTACTAGGATCCACTTGGATTAGATACCAATTTGTTACCTTTACTACTATATATATATATATGAATTAATTATAAAAATATAGTTTTAAGTTATACCATATTTATGGGTTAAAGTGATCAATATCAAGGATAGCCCATATGTAGATATAAACGTGGGGTTTGAGATCAATACCCAGCGGCGACTGTGTCATTTCATGCTTAAACGCAATCTTCAAGTTTGGAGATTGCGTTTAAGCATGAAACAGACTATCGCCGCTGGGTGTTGATCTCAATATGTGTGTGTGTGTGTGTGAACCCGTTGTTACATCCTATGCGTTTTAGATTGTTTTGACAACGGAGTCTACATGTGTGTGTTTTTGCGTTTGTGATTATATGAAGCATCCTGCACAGTTTTTTGTTTGTTTCTTGTGTGTGTGTGTTTTTAATAAAAAAATTGCCTCAGGAAACCTTTTTTCTATTGAGAATAAGATAAATAATCTCAAATTTTGCTTGATAACTGTTCCTTTATAAATTTTGTATTTTTTTTTTCATCTTGAAAATAATTGTTTACTGTTATATATTCGTCAATGAATTTAGTAATTTAAATAAATATGTCTCCATGTGCACACGCGTGTGTATACGTGTACGTGTGCATTTATACTTATTCGGAAAGAACTATATTGTATTCTATTGTCCTTGGTATTATTAGAAAATTG